TACAGGTGAGAAACCTTTCTCATGTGGAACTTGTGGAAAAAGTTTCAGAAGCACGTCTCGTTTAACTTCTCACATGAGGATTCATTTGGCAGAGAAGCCTTTCACATGTAAGACTTGTGGAAAGAGTTTCACACGAAAAGATCATTTAATCAAACACATGAACCTTCACTTGGGTGAGAAGCCTTTCATATGTATGACTTGTGAAAAAGGAGTCATTCACAAAAATAATTTAGCTAGTCACATTATAGGTCACACAGGAGAGGAGCATTTCTTATGTGGGATCTGTGGAAAAAGTTTCACCTATGAAAATGGTTTACCTGTTCACGAGGACTCACAGATGTGAGACGGCATTATGCGAACCTCAAATACCAAGGTGCTCTGTAACTTGTTTTGTGCTGTAATTACATCTAGATCATATCTTTGATTTGTTGTAGCTTGGTCATTGGTCAAATCATTTCAAATAAGACTTCTAGCTGAAGTTCTTAGAATTCATCTTATTCCTCTAATTTCACATCTTAAAACCAGATTTGAGATAATAATCACTGGGAATCTTAAATGAAATGGATTTGAAGGGTGTCTTGAAGGAATCAGTGGTTTGGATTTTCACAATTAGAATGTAAAGTCTATAAAGTCTTGTGTTTATCTTTTTGCTGTATTTATACAGAGTTTTTGTTAAATTATTGAATGTTTATTAGTGGATTCATGGTAAGGGTTCATGTATGGACTGGTAATTACCCATTGGGATTCATAATGTTTTCTGTATTCGAATCTAATTATCACACATTATTATTATTTTCATTATTTGCTCTGTTTCTGATTCAGGAAGGAAATCATGCTGATTATAAGATTTCAACAACGCAGGCATAAGGTTGACTTAATCGGGTTGATACTGCAGATGTTTTACTTTTTTTAAATTAAATATATAAATCCTTGTTAAAGCTACTCTGAATTGTAAAATTAATTTTATTTACTTGTCTTTCATTCATTACACAGGGTCTCTGAGAATGTTTTGTTTAGGATGTTTGTAAATGTATGAGTGACTGTCATTACAACTATTTGTACTTCTTATATAATAAAGTCAATTTACCAGCATGTTCTATTTTTCAATCTCGTAGTGGATTTTGACTCTTAAATGGGATCCATTATAACTTTGCAGGACGGCAGTGAGGCGGTGCAGAGCCAGGACCAGAACCAAACATGGACACCCTGAACACTCATTGACTAAAATGGTTGTGCAATCATCTTTAAAATATCACATTTTCTATCAGCTCTGTTTTTTTGTTAAACAAGTTTTGTTTTGCCTATAATAAATACAATATTGTCAGTGCTAGCAATCTTGCTGATTGACTGAAAATGACTTAAAGCTGGTATGATAACTATTAACTTAAACACCCTTTTTATCTGGTTCAGCAACACTAAGTTGAGGTGTTTCAGGGAGAAAACTGTGACATCATGGGGGCTTTTAACCATAGACATAATAAACTTAATTGCTATGTCTGTTTTCACCTGTATATCATGTTTCATTTAGTAAATCAAGATCCTTCCCCGAAATTGAAGCAGTACTGCTTTTTGTTACATCAATAAATTAACTTTTTTTCACTAATACAAAAATAACAACAAATAAATAAATAAATAAATAAATAAATAAATAAAATGGCTGAATTATACTGAACTCCATGTTCCACTGTAAAGTCTAAAATGAGACTGAGCTAATAGTTAACAAGACAAAATAATTACATCTGTTATTGTTTGGAGTATTCAGATCGCTAATAAATTTATTTTTGCAAGTTTACGTTTTTGGTTCACAAAATAGTGAAAAAACATAATGTACAAATTTTGCTCAATTCCAAGAGTGGTTGTCAGAAAAGTACACGTAAACTTTTGCCAGCTATAGTCTCATGTAGCTCTGATTTTTGCATTGAAGTTTTTTTTTAATAGTTATTTAATATTCTAATCTTAAAAAGCGTATTTTCATTAGCTGTGTGTGTAAAATTCTTATAATTAATTTGTTTATTGTAAATGGTTGAAGACATAATTCTTTGTGTTTTAACTTATAGAGTGTTTCACTTAGTAAATTGATCTACTAGAAAAAACACTACTTTTAATTAATATTCTAATTTATTCAACATCACTATATTAACAGAGGTGATTCATAGGAGATTAGAAAATGTAAAGCGGAACTAAAAGTCCTTCTCAGTTTCTTCCGTGGAGCTACAGTGAAACACGCGAGAAATGAAAACAGAACACAGATCGCAGCGTTCGCTTTTCTTCTGTTAGAATGTAGTTTGAATACAGGTTTGGTGTTTTGGGTAAAACATTTGACTGTTTACAGTTAAAATGTCGTCAGTTCCGCCTCATAGAGAGTCAATCAACGAGCAGTTAAGTCCGGCTGAAGAAACATTAACGGAGTTTTGTAAAATCATCGTCAAATCCGATGAAGAGACGGACGATCAGCGTAGACTGCTGGATTTCTCCCGATTACCCCAGATAATCTTACATCGAATAGGTAGGAAACACCCTCACGCTTTACTGACTAGACAGGTTAAAGAAAATTGTCTGGGCCGTCTCTGAACTCGACATCCTCTTTAAAGGGTCGTTGCACCAAACTAAACGACTGCAATAACAAAACTACTCTAAAACGTAGAATAAGCATTTGTGATCTCAACTATTTACTATGTAATATCAAAATTACAGTTTGTGATCCGTGGCTCCCTTATCTCAGCTCCACCTCTTTACATACTGGTTATAGTTTTTGTGTACATTGTTTAGTTTTAGTTTTCTGTGTAATTTCATATATCTGTTTATTTAAGATCAGGGATGCCCAATCTTTTTGAAGACAAGAGCTATTTTTTCTCTGAACATCATGCTGATCGCTACCATATGACACAAATTGTAAATTAAATTCTGTTTACTTATTTTATATGCAAATACACATCAATTATAGCAGTATTTTTATAGAAACTTAATGCAGTTCCTTCCTTTGTGAACAGGTTTTCCTCCAGAAAACTTGCTATTTTTTGTATTTAAAAATGTAATATTATTACATTTCCTATCCTGTCCAACAATGTAGACATTGTCTGCAATGGTAGACATTGCTGACAATTCTTAAACACACAACTATAGTGATAAAAAAAATACAAATAAAATATATTTGCATTCTGTAAAATCACAATTACATCTTCAAACACGATGTAATCCTGATCACATTTAGAGCCGACCTGAGGCAAGAATTAACGAAGCAGCTTCTTAAGCTCCTCCAGACGTTCTGGGGTCCAATAAATACTAACATTTTAACACAGATAATTGATTTAGCATTTTAACATTTGTTTATTGAGAATGTCAGTGCTGATGTAATGGTTTCAGGATAGATAAATTCAAGATTTACAGGAGCTGACAAGTTCACTTTGTGAAAGTGTAAATAACAAACTTCTCGGTTAGATTGGTGTGTTACCGTAGCTACATTCTGATGCTATGAGTTTGATCTTTGTGTTTGAACTCTGTTTGTTCACAAATACATCTCAGTAAATTACAGTGATCAGTGATTGCGTTTAAGCTAAGTCAATTAAACTCCACCCCATATCCCAGTTTCCACAAAATTTATATTGAAACACTGTTAGTGAAGCTGATGTTCTTAGCAGGAAGAGGGGACCTTAAATCAAATTCTGTTCAATGCTTATCACGACAGGCCTGGTGAACACCTGCCATGAATTTTTGGGGGATGCTCGTGGTCTTGTCTCGCCTCCCGCCTTTTGGGTTGTGATAGGGGAAACACTGAATGGAAAAATTCATTTTTTATTTAAATCAATAAGCCTTGGCTTTATCTTTTTTTTTCCAGATTGCCTTCGATGCTGTATGCATAAAGAGGATGAAGTTCTCACTGAACTCACCAAACAGGATGGGAACTCCATTTTATATCAAAAAGAATTTGAACATTTGGAAATAAAACATGAGCAAGAAGAACTAGAACATCAACAGATCAAAGAGGAAGAAAATCAACCTTTCATCAGTGAGGATGAAGAGCAGCTTACACTGAAACAGGAGACTGGAGACATTTTGGTGACTCCTTCTAATGCACAAAGAATACACATGAGTATTCATACTAGCGAGAAGCCTTTTACATGTATTACTTTTGGAAAATCTTTCAATCGAAAAGGTCTTTTGAGTAAACACATAATGAGACACACTGATGAGAGGACTTTCACAGGTTTGACCTGTGGAAAAAGTTTCACTCAAAACAGTCATTTATGTACTTACATGAAAAGTCACACAGGTGAGAAGCCGTTCACATGTTTGACATGTGGAAAGAGTTATAAGGAAAGAAGAGATTTAACTTCTCATATGAGAATTCATACAGGCGAGAAGCCTTTCTCATGTAAGTGCTGTGAAAAAAAGTTCACCTATAAAAGCAATTTAACTACTCACATAAAATCTCACACAGAAGAGAAGCATTTCACATGTGTGACCTGCCAAAAAAGTTTCAGAAACAGGTCTTATTTAACTTCCCATATGAGAAGTCATGAGAAGCCTTTTTCATGTGGGACCTGTGGAAAACGTTTCTCTGCAAAAGATGGTTTAACTTCTCACTTGAGGACTCATACAGGCGAGAAGCCCTTCACATGTATTACCTGTGGAAAAACTTTCTCTCGAAAATATCATTTAGGTGTTCACATGAAAGTTCACACAGGTGAGAATCTTTTCTTATGTATTACTTGTGGAAAGAGTTTCACTAAAAAGAGTAATTTAACTACTCACATGTGGATTCATGTTGGCAAGAAGCCTTTCTCTTGTGGAAAAAAAATCACTCTGAAAGATCAGTTAGCTACTCACATGCAAGGTCACACAGGTAAGAAGCCTTTCCCATGTGCGACCTGTGGAAAAACTTTCTCCACAAAAGTTATGCTAACTATTCACATGAGGATTCATACAGGCGAGAAGCCTTTCACATGTGTTGCTTGCGGAAAACATTTCACTCAAAAAAGCAATTTAGCTACTCATATGAGAATTCACGCTGGGGAGAAGCCGTACTTATGTAGAATCTGTGGAAATCATTTGTCTACCAAAGATAGTTTAGCTTCTCACATGAGGATTCACAACGGTGAGAAGCCTTACACATGTGGGATCTGTGGAAAACATTTCACCAATAGAAACAGTTTACCTGTTCACATGAGAACTCACACAGAGGAGAAGCCTTTCTCATGTATAACTTGTGGAAAAAGTTTCACTCAAAAAGGTCATTTGACTGATCACATTAAAGGTCACACAGGTGAAAAGCCTTTCAAATGTGCCACTTGTGGAAAGAGTTTTAGGGAAAGAAGGGGTTTGACTGCTCATATAAGAAGTCACACAGGCGAGAGGCCTTTCTCATGTGAAATCTGTGGAAAAAGGTTCACCAACAGAAAGAGTTTACCTATTCACATGAGAATACACACGTGAGACGAAATTATGTGAACCTCAAATATCAAGTTGCTCTTGAAATCTTTCTGATTATAATATGGCCACAATCTATGCATAAGGTTGACTAAATCTTTATCAGACCTGAGATGTTTTACTTTTTTGGTTCAAATATCTTCATTGATAGCATCCTTGTTAAAGCTATTCTAAATTGTAAAGTTCTTTTTACCCATTTGTCTTGTCATCCATTACACAGAGTTTGTGTTTCAGATGTTTTTTTCTGGATGTTAGTAAATGTTTTAGTGATATAGATTCAAATAATTTTACTGTCAGTAAAACCTTTTGTAACTCTTATAAAATAAAGTGCAATTTATCATCATGATGGTCTTGTTTTTTTTTTGTTTTTTTTTTCAGTTTAGCAGTGAACTTCGAGGATGAGAACTTGGCTTTAAGTGAAGAAAAACTTGAATCTGTGGAGATAAAATGGGAGCAAAAAGAACCAGAACATCTACTGATAAAATGCGAGCAGGAGGAGCCAGATCATCAGCATTTTAAAGCTGAAGAGTATCAACTGTGCATCACTCAGTATGAAGAGTACCTTATGATGAAACAGGAGACTGGAGATATTTTGGTGACTCCTCTTAATTAGCAAATAATCAACAATGAAACAGAACCAAACAGGAACCAACTTGTCTCTCATGCTTCTCCTGAAGTTGAGAACCAGGATCAGGAAGGAAGCAATTCTGAAGACCAAGGAGAAAAGAGAGACAACGAGCAGAAACAAAACAAGAGATGTCAGAAAAACAAAGAGCAGAAAGGCACTTCTGAGGGTTTAAAACAAAATACCCACAAGAAAACTCATGGGGACCTAAATTTATATTCCTGTAAAATTTGTGACAAAATCTTTTCTCGAAACAGTCATTTGACAATACATATGAGAATTCATACTGGCGAGAAGCCTTTTACATGTACTACATGTGGAAACTGTTTCACTAGAAAAGGTCATTTAGGTTCTCACATGAGAAGTCACACAGGTGAGAAGCCATTCCCATGTTTGATGTGCAGAAAGAGTTTTAGGGAAAGAAGGGACTTCTCACATGAGAATTCATACAGGGGAGAGTCCATTCTCATATAAGAGCTGTGAAAAAAGTTCACCTATAAAAGCAATTTAACTATTCACATGAAAACTCACACAGAAGGGAAGCCTTTCACATGTGTGACCTGCCAAAAAGGTTTCAGAAGCAGGTCTTATTTAACTTCCCATATGAGAAGTTATGAGAAGACTTATACATGTATTATTTGTGGAAATAGTTTCACTCAGAAAGGTCAATTAGCTACTCACATGAAAGGTCACACAGGTGAAAAGCCTTTCATATGTATGACTTGTGGAATGCACTTTAGTGAAAG